TGAATTTAGGACTGCTTCTCTTTGTAAACTTTATGTGCCTTTGTGGCTTACTTTTTAGGCATGAAATGCTGGTTGTTCTAGGCATCACGTTCTCTCTTTTGATATTATATTGGAGTGGCCAAATCACTTCCATTTTCAGGAGTTCTCACAGAGGCCCAAGTCAGATGAGGATCAGATGCTCTTAGGCTTTCTCCTAAGGTATGGATCCCTCCAGGAAAGATGCTGCCCTCAGGAATTTAGGAGCTGGGCTGGCCTGAGAGCAAGTCCCAGGCTAGATGCTGGTCTCAGGAAGCTGTTGGCTATGCCACCCAGGGATGCAAAGGGAGTTGGTGGTGGGAAGAGGCCCCTAGGCCTCTTGGGGACTACTGGGAGGAACTGGGTGGGTCTGGATGCAAAGGATCAGAAAGCACGTGGACTCTGGGCCAAAAGACAGCCCAGGGGTCTGGGGTGCTAAGAAAAGAAATGGGCCAGTACCCAGGCCATGAGGAGAGATGGGGTAGGGGAGATGGGAGGGTGAATAAGGCTGGGGGAGTCAAGGCCCAGAGGGCGCAATGGACTTACCCTGGAGAGAGGCCTGTGGGTAGCCAGAAAGAGGATGGCAGGTGGTGCAGGCCCAGGGAAGCAGGGGGAGGTGACAGCGGGTCCGGGTCCAGAAGCAGTGCTCCTGGGGCCCAGAGAAGGCACTAAGTTGGTTTGGATGAAAGGGGTCAGGAAGCAGTATTGGTTCCCCAGGTGTTTGGGGCCTCAAGACAAGGAATGGGGCAGGACCCAAACTAGGAGGAGAGAATGGCAGGGGAGATGGGAGGATGAATGGGGTTGGGGGAGTCAAGGCATGGAAGGCGGTGGACTTACCCTGGAGAGAGGCCTGCCTGCGGGTGGGAAAGAGGCCTACTGCAGGCCGTACACGCCCAGGGAAGCAGGGGGAGGTGAGGGTGGGGCCAGGTCCAGAAGTGGTGCTCCTGGGGCCCAGAGGAGGCACTTAGTTGGTCTGGATGAAAAGGGTCAGGAAGCAGTATTTTTTTTTTTTTTTTTTTAAAAGACAGGGTCTCCCGGTAGCCCCAGCTGGCCTGGAACTCATTATGTAGACCAGCCTGGCCTTGAACTCACAGATCCACCAGCCTCTGTCTTCCAAGTACTGGGATTAAAGGTGTGTGTGCCACCATGCCCAGCCCAACTGTGTCTTTAAACAAATTTACAAATTTCTATACCCTTTGACTTGAGGTTTGGGTTTATTTGTTATTATTGTGAGAATGGGCAGATGGGTATGCACATGCCACAGAGGGCATATGGAGGTCAGAGGACAACTGAGAAGATGCTTTAGGGTCCTTACTAACACTATGGTCCCTGGAACCACAGCTCCTTAAAAATGCAAAACCTTAATCATCACCCTAGAGTCTACACTGTAACAAGATCACCAGGTTATTAAATGCACATGACATTTAGGAATCCCTGCTGTGGCATCTTACACAATTCAAAAGTAATCACATGAACCACACTTTCATATGTCAATGACAGAAATATTGCTGTATTTGAATTATTCTTATACCTATAAATGGCAGCACCTTGGTTTAATTTTAAAAGTGCTAACTAGCCATATCATTTAAGTAGGTTCTTTCAATCTTGTGTTTCTTCTGTAGCTGTAAAAGAACATCTTGTTCAGAGTGGACTTTTTATAGGTAGGGGACTTGCTTAGCATGCACAGGACCCTTAGTTTAATCTCTGGTGCAACACACACACAAAAAAAATTAAAGAAGTTTACATTGACAGAAGATAACATTACCACTATTATTTCACAAGTAGATTTTTTTGCTTGCAAAAGCTATAGTCATTTTCCTCAATGTATTTAGTGTCCTGACCAGTTAGCTCTGGATGAATAAGTTGTCGGACCGTTAGTGTTTGGAATAAAGTCTTTTCTGTTGTGAAGATAACAACATGCACAGGTGTTCGTGCAGGTCTGAATGCTCATTCATTCATAGAAAGAAATCAGCTGTTCAGAGTAGTTGAGCTTGACACAATGTGACCATTGTCTAGAAGGGGCAAAAACAAATCTTCCTTTTTCTTTTCCTTCTGAGAAGTATTAGTATACATTAAAGCTAACTCTGAACCTATGAGCAGTTGTATATAATAGGTTCTGCTCCAAAGATTCTCCTGTCAATCACATTCTGTGACAGAAATGAACTATAATGTGTATGTGGGGGGAAGTGTGTCCATTTGTATTGGAGATGAGGTTGGTGGTCAGCCTTATCAGTCCACCTCTGACCTGGATCTGCCCAAGGTTTTTCTACCCATCAGATATTAACATGACCATATCCTTCTGTTCAAATCCTACTTTATATGAAAGGACGAAATTGCATTATCTGCAAACATTTGAAAGTTGCCTTGCTATATAGACAAATGTATTTTCTATTAATAGTAAATTAATGGAGTTTTGACAAAGTATAATTTCACATTACAGCAATTTCCAGTTTATGTACTACCAAAAGTAGAATATCAAGGTTGTTACGGAGTTGAAGCTCTGACTGAAAGTGAGCTTTGTCGCTTCTGGACTGAGAGTTTATTGCATTCCAACTGCTCATTTTATGTTGGTAAGTATTCAGGAGTCTTTGATTTCCCCTAATTCCCTTGTAAGTACACTTAAATTTAGTTGTAAATACTTGAATTTTGTGCTTCCAGTTTGTTTTCCAGTCGCTGGGAATTAGCAGGGCTTTGAACGACATTGCCTGGGTACATGCATAGTTGGCACGTCTTACATGATGAATACATGCTGTCAGTGTTCCCCTTGTTCCCTTGCAGTGGGACGCCAAGTTGTGTACATCTCCCATCATTCCATCTCAGTCTCTGTGCACCAACCTGAGCTGTTCCCCGTACACATTCGTCTGTCTTTTACTTATCACTTGCTGCTTCCTACTTTATTGTTCTTATACCTATCCCTTTTTCTTGACAGACTAGTTTGACGTCAGAGTCCGATGAAGTTTTGTATTTTCATAATGTATGGTGCCATGTGTGTAGTAAGTGCTGTGTGTGTTTTCCTTACCTAATCAAAAAAAGTGATTCACTTGAAAATTTATGCCCATTTTGATTAATATCAGTGTTGTGGGGGGTTTTGTTTTGAGTTTTGTTGGGGTTTTTTTTGGGGGGGGGTTCTTGTTAATATCAGTGTTGTGGGGGGTTTTGTTTTGAGTTTTGTTGGGGTTTTTTTGGGGGGGGCTTCTTGGGTTTTGTGTGTGTGTGTGTGTGTGTGTGTGTGGTCTTTTTGAGACACGGTCTCCCTATAGCCCCAGCTGGCCTGGAACTCACTATGTAAACCAGGCTGGCCTCAAACTCACCAAGATCCACCTGCCTCTGCCTCCCAAGTGCTGGGATTAAAGGCATGTGCCACCACAGCCGACTGGGTTTTTGTTTTCTACAGCATCTGGCTACATAGCCCAGGCTAGCTTCAAACTCATGATCCTTCTGCCTCGGCCTCCCTATTGTTGAGATTAATCTTATACAACCAAATTGGGTTAATATATTTTAGAGTTGGGTGTTTTGTTTTGTTTTTCAGTGCTAGGAATAAACACTCTGCCACTGAGCCATACCCCCAGCCCTAACATTTTATTTTCATCCATTCTTAGAGACTTGGTAGATAATTGATTCATCCTCTCTCTCAGCTTAACCCAAAAAACAGTTAGATGTACTTCATGGTGCTGCCCTACCTCTTACCTCTACTTTCATATACATCACAGGACGTTTGTTTTAGTCTTCCATCAGTAAGTGGGGTTCTAATGTCCCTCCAAGTTCTCATACTACCAGTTGTCAAGGAAGGCACCTCAAAGCAACTACCAGCCACATCCGCTTTAGGAAAAGATTTAAAATATATATAGTTATCAGGGGCTAGAGTGATGACTCAGTGGTTAAGAACACTGGCTGCTCTTGCAGAGGACCCCAGTGCAATCCCCACCACGCACTGCTAACAACCTTCCGTAGCTCCAGCTCCAGGGGTTCCAACACCCTCTTCTGACTTCCGTGGGCATTGCACAACATGGATGCACTTATGTGCAATGCAGGCAATACACTCATACACAAAAAATAAAAATAATAAAAATTTAAAAACTATATAGTTATCAATAAACTCTTTTTAACGTGCTTACAAATCATTTGGATTTGTTTTGTAATACACTGTTTAACTGATGAAATTACCATCAGCTGTGTGATTGCCTTACCCAAATTCTTCTAAGTTCTAAGTAAATATTGCCTTAGGTGCTGGCCCGTAGTGAGTCCTGTTCATTTATAAGCCATTCATTTTCATGTGACAGGATAATGTATGTGGTTTCTATGACAACTATTTGTTGAACAAGGTGGGTGGTTGTGGACTTTTGGGTTGTTTGGGTTTCGATGTTGATATATGCAGGTAGGGCATACAAAGGTACCTTGTTATTGTTATTTTGTTGTTTTTGGTGCTAGGAATTGAGTCCAGGATTTTGTGCATGCTAGGCAAGCATTGAGCTGTACCTATGCACCCATAGTTCAGGAATATATTTTTAAATGCTATTTTCAAAACATATATAAGTATTAGTGGTGTTTTTTTTTTTTTAATGTTCTAGTACACAGGTTTTTTAAGTTAAACAAAATCCACTTAAAAGAGCTTGTTAACATGGAGCTTGCTAGCACTGGTCCTAGCATGTCTGATTTGGTAGGTCTGGGACGGGATCTGGGTCTTTATGTTTTCATCATGTTCTCAGGAAACACTGATGCTGCTAGTGTTATGTGCTTATTTTGCTGTAAACATGTTCTCCTTCTCTAGACTGTAGTGCCTCTTGTCCCTTAAAACCTTAAGATTTACTCCATTAAGAAAATCTTCAGAGTGCTAGAGCCAGGCATGGTGACACAAGCCTTTAATGTCAGCACTTGGGTGGAAGAGGCAGGTGAATCTTTGTAAGCTTAAGGTCAGCCTGATCTACATAGCCAGTAAGAACTACACAGTGAAACCCTGTCTCAGAAAAAGAAAGAGAAAGAAAGGAAGGGAGGGAGGTAGGAAGGAGGAGGAAGAGGAGGAGGATGAAGGGGGTAGAGAGAGAAAGTTCTCAGTATAGTCTCATCACAACTTCTGTATCTACTGTCCAATCCTCTAATAGTTATCCAGCCTGTATAGTTATGTACAGGCAGTCTTCACTTTGTATAGTACGTACAAGCATGGATTTCAGTTCTGGAAGTATATTTAGAGTAAGAAATTGCATATGAACTTTGCTGCTGGCTCCTCAGTCCAGTAATCAGTACGTAGATTATAGACACAGACACACAGACACACACACAGACACACACACACACACGATCAGTGACTACCCATGTCCCTTTTTTCAGTCTGTGATTGGTCAATATGCACCTGTTACTGCGTTCATGTACAGAAACTAGATGTACAGTATCTCCATTTGAGATGTAAAAGTAGATAATGAAAACAAGAAATTAGTCCTCAAAGATTAAAGCAAAGTGCAAAAGATAAAAAGGTAATACTGCTGGAAGTGTAAGTCAGATCAGACTCACATGGAGTTTATAGAGGAAACAGCCAACATTGGGAGTGTTGACACTGTCAAAAACTTGAGATTTGTAGGGGAACTTACTAAAGGCTGACCTATTACATAAATGAGAAGATACAAATATCTCAAATACTTCATGGTCGAGACATGAAAGATGAAGTGACACCAGCATAAGATTTATATTAAAGGAACTCTTGGAGATTTTTCATGACATTGAGAGCACAAAGGAGGTAATATGAAGTTGATCCTAACTTAGGCCTAAGTATGGCTGTTACAGGAGTGTGGAAAAGGTGCTTGCTCCCTGACAGGCGCTGTCTAAGGAGGCAACAAGCACTGGTAAAACTACTCTTGGTAAGGTTTTTATAAAAACATAAAAGAGTTCTATGCTTTTATTGTTTGAAGTAAGTATACTAAATACATATTTTACTATGTATCTTTTTCTCTAAATACAATTGATAGAGAATTTGTGTTGACAAAAATATAAAGAAATATGCTTGCTTCGACAGCACATACAGTAAAATTGGAACAATGCAGAGAAGATTAGCATGGCCCCTGCACAAGGATGACATGCAAATTTGTGAAGCATTCCATATTAAAAAAAATATATATATATATATAAAGATAGTGAAATAGTTGTAATTTTCCTATTGATTATTAAAATTGCTTACATGATTTCAGCCTGTATCATTTTTATGACCCCTGTACTGCATTTACAGCTAGGACTACCTATATATATGAATTATACATAAATGAATGCATATATGTAAAGGCTTTATTTTTACTATCTTTAAAGTAGTGTCCCCAGCTATGCCATATCTTAAAAGTATTTGTACAGCACAACGTGATTTATAAGAGATTTGTACTGACCAAAGAACAGTGACCAGAGCTTTCACCATTCCAAACCTGGCTCAGATACCCCAGGGGCTGAAGATACAAATATCTCAGGCATATATAGAACTCATTTGAGGCCCCAGGCTAGACAGTGCCTGTGTTGGGAGTTGGTCTCCCTGAGGAAGGAGGCCCTCATAGCATTTCGTGTATTGTTTTTGACAGACCATGGATACTCTAATACATTCTTTTATAGTTGAATTTCTTTAAAAAGATAAAAGCTATTAGTCACAAAGAGTTATTTAGTAAACATCTAAAATTATGTTTCCCTTAATATCCTCCTTTTATACCTATTAAGCAATCAAATGTCTTTATTTTTAGAAATATCATTGTATATGAGCACTAGAAATTCAGAGATAAAACAAAAACTTGGCATAAGAAAGAACAAGTGGGTATGGGAACAGAATGGATATGATGTCTAAGAGACATCTGGTAAAAATCTTTCTAATTAAATTCTTTGAATATAAAGCAAATGAGATTAAAGTAGGCTAAATATGAACATGAGATATTAAACTAAATGCAATTTTTGTTTTCCCAGTAATTGATACCAACTTTTTAAGTAATTTTTTTTTGACAATAAAATATTATGAGTTAAAAAAGTATATCTGAAACAGTATGCTCAGCACTGTTGGGCATTACTCTGATGCTAGCAGCTGTTTTAACCATTGTGCAGTAGCGTGGCTTTCCTGTTGACTTGACTGTGGTACCTTTACCTCACACTTCCTGGTGCATTACATCGCCTCAGTGTGTCTCAACCTATTTTGTTTTAGAATGTACAAATTTTTACAACTGAAGTGTCATTTTGAGCATGTATTGTTTTATTTTTCAGAATTCTCGATTTAGACTTATAAGAAAATAAGACTTTGGGGACTGGAAAGATGGCTCAGAGGTTAAGAACACTGGTTGTTCTTGCAGAAGACCCAGGTTCGAATTCCAGCACCCACATGGCAGCTAACAACTGTCTGTAACTCCAGTCCCAGGGGGTCCGACAGCCTCTTCTGACCTCCCTGGCATTGCACGACACAGGCACACTCACTTACATGCAGGCAATACATGCATACACATAAAATAAAAATAATAAATAAAATTTAAAAAAAAATAAGACTTTGAGCAGACTGCTTTGCCCATGGGAAATCTTGTGATTGCTTTAATTTTAAAATAAAAAGTCATTTTTATAAATAATCTTTTACTATATGTGTCTTAGTGATTTATTGACCATGCCCATTCTATAGATTTTATTTTTTTAAACTTTTAAAAAAACTTTTTATTATTTTTATATTATGTGTATGGTGTATTGCCTGCATGTATATAAGTGCACCCGTGTTGAGCAGTGCTTGTGGAAGACAGAAGAGGCTGTCGGATCCCCTGGGACTGGAGTTACAGACAGTTGTTAGCTGCCGTGTGTGCTGGGATTCGAACCCAGGTCTTCTGCAAGAACAACCAGTGTTCTTAACCACTGAGCCATCTCTCCAGCCCCCATAGATTTTTTTTTTTTTTTTTGGTCTTTTTGAGACAGGGTCTCCCTGTAGCTGTCCTGGAACTCACTATGTAGACCAGGCTGGCCTTGAACTCAGAGATCTGCCTGCCTCTGCCTCCCAAGTGCTGGGACTACAGGCATGTGCCACCACGCCCGGCTCCCACAGATTTTATTTTTAAATGCTTGCTTTGATAATGAGTACATACTTCTCTTTAAAAACTCCATGAAAATGCAACTTTAGTTGGCCTTGAACTACTAATACTTTAACAAGTTTTTATTCTTAAATTATAGGCTTAGGGACAATAGTAATCCTCTTTGGTATTTTATATTAGCTAGGCACTATTTGTGTCTTGTCTTTCTCTCCCTGTCTTAGCTCCCTCCCTGCCCTCCCCATTTCAAGTGTCCCCGTGTTCCCCATTTCGCCCTTGATCATTTTTGTATGCTATGGTCCCACCTCTTTTGAGCTAAAAGGGAAGGGGAGATGGAGGACTATACAAAGAGCTATGGGAATAAAAGAGAAGAAGGGGGTTTTAATTTTTATATTTCTTTTAGGGCATATTGATGCATTTACTTCAAAGCTTTTCATGCTGGAAGAAATTACCTCAGAAGAATTAAAAGAAAAACTTTCAGCACTCAAGTAAGAAAATTCATTGTGGTGGGGATTGAAAAGACTTACGAGTATCAATGTAATGTGGTCACTAGTCTTCCTTTAGCTCTAAATTTTGATTCTGTTTATTGTCAAGACTTTGATTATTTTATGCTTCGAGCTTCCCTAACCCACTTCACACTGTCTCCACCTACAAGGAAACAATGCTGACAGCACCAGCCTTCCTACTTAAGACAAAAGATGCCAGAGCCATAGGGGGTCCAGTGTCCAGACGTGCACAGAAGCAAATGTATGTGGAAGCAAACGTATGCACCCTATGTGGAGCAGGGGAGGAGGGCACAACTGTAGACTGTCAGCCCTTGGGATTGTGGGACTGATTGGACAGTCTGACTTCTACAAGTTTGCCCATCCTACCAAGTACTGTACATCAGAACTAAGTGAATTGTACTCAGAACTCTTAGTACCTAGATGCAAAAGAAAACAGCTTGTACATATTATCTAATCGTCATCTGATAGCTTCCCATCAACGGCTTTTGAGAGATCATTTCCACTTCATATACAAAGAAACTGGGACTTGACTCACCTAGAGCACATGACTGAGCTGCTGTCACACAGTCTTGATAGTTAATATGTTGAAATTGCCACTCAGGATGAGACATTGTATTGGTTTTAGCTGCAGAGCTCCAGGTTTGAGATTTGACAGCTTTTTAAGGGTCCAGAGTCAAATCTGAACTCTGTGATTAAACCTAAATGTCCCTTTCTCTTTGTAAGAATTGCTTCCCTTGGGTGGTAACTTTTCTTGACATATGTGAATAGAAGTTTTTATGACCTCCTTACCCTTGTCTTACTTCTCCTAATTATGAAAATCATTTTTAAGATGAATAATAAATAAGTTTAGATGTAGATGAGAAGTCAAAAAAATATTTAGAATATATGTTTGGTTTCTGTTTAGCTAGTCAATGCTTCTCTGTCACCACACATTTGAAGTTCCCATCACTTTTCTTGGCAGCCAACTTGCCATCATTACTAAAAGGACAGTAGTTCAACAGTTTTTAAGTATATGATTTGAATATTTTTTTTTTATTTTTTTTATGTGTATGAGTGTATTGCCTGCATGTATGCAAGTGCACCTGTGTTATGCAGTGCCCACGGAGGTCAGGAGAGGGCATCAAATCCCCTGGAACTGGAGTTAGGATGATTGTTAGCTGCCATGTGGGTCCTTGTAATTGAACCCAGGTCCTCTACAAAAGCAGCCAGTGCTCTTAACTGCTGAGCCATCTCTCCAGCCCCTGATTTGGATATTTTTCAAATGATATGTTTATAACTCCCCTAACACAGATCTAAATACTTTATCAATGTGAAAGGAAATTAAGAAATGACAAAATAAAATCTCATCCAAATATGAATGCATTTGATGGTGTTTGTTTCACATTATTTATTCTTTGTTATTAAGAATATTTCTTTTCCTGAGAAGTTACCATTGTTAAAAGTAAGTTGTTCAGTGTGTGTGTGTGTGTGTGTGTGTGTGTGTGTGTGTGTGTTTTCTGGGGTTTGTGTGTTTTCAGTTTAATTTCACACCAGCTTTTTTCTGTTTTATAGGATTTCAAGTTTATTTAACATTCTCCAACACATTCTAAAGAAATTATGTAGGTGAGTATTTGGGAGCATTTTGCATAATGGGTCTGATTTTCTTTACCAAAAATTATTAGAAACTTTGTTAGGGATAGATAGAAAAACTAGACATGGGGAAATTATTTTATCAGAGTTGAAATTCTAAAAATGTGAGTGAAAATGGTAGAATCTGCCTGTCACAAACTAGACATGGGGAAATTATTTTATCAGAGTTGAAATTCTAAAAATGTGAAAATGGTAGAATCTGCCTGTCATGAAGCTGCAGATGTGCTCCATCACACTCGTTTTCTCTCGCCTCTTCCTCAGGGTCTTGCTGTGTAGCTCAGGCTGACCTCTACCTCTCAGTCCTCTAGGAGTAAGATTTTCATAAAATCTCAGTATGTGAAATGTTACTTATTCCTTCTACCAGATAATTATTTCCTATGTGTAAGTGATTGAGAAAAAAGCCTTCCCAGGGCGGGGGGAGGGGGGAAGAATATGTCCCCCAGATGTCCTTTGTCAATACCTGTTACTTCTGGGGTTAAAAAGTTAATGAAAATGAAACTTCTTAGGTTTGTAGGAAGATCTGTGTAACTAAGGTTGATTGATCTTTATTTTAATATGGAACAGAACTGTTCTCTTTGCCTCTGTGATCCATAGGATTATGTATTACCATGAAAGTACAGTCTACCTTACAACTTTCTAAGGTGCAAAGAAAAATGTAGATTGGCCATTACCAATTGTAGATTGGTAATGGTAGAGGATCATGGTTAAGGCTGTGACCTGCACGAAGCTTAATTGCTGCATCTACAGCCAAGCCCCACTATACTCAAAACTGTGGGCAGATTGCTTAGCATCTCTGTTTTGTTTACTTATGCCCAATTTAGAGTAAATAATGTTATGCCTTGAAAGCGTGTTGTGGAGAATTTAATGAGAAAGTAGATGTGAGGCACTAGAACAGAAGTTACCTCATGGTAACCATATCGTTATGATGCCAGCTAGCTGCTGTTCCTATGTCCTTGCACTTACTCATTCTATCTGGATTGTTCCACCGTCTGCCTTTGACACTGTATCTTATAGTAATTAATATACTACATTCACTTTTTAATCTCTGTTCACTTACCTATTAGATACAAAATAGGTACAGGTTGAATGAATGAAAAAAAAAATTTTTTTTCAGTGTATCTGCTCATAGGTTAGAGATTTAGATACTTATCTTCCCATTAAATGACTGGAAATTTACAAGTTGTATAAAAGTAAAAAGAAAATAGTCAGATAGTCTAAACTTTGGAAAACAAACTAAGTATAGTTACCTGGTATAAAATAGTTTTAAAGGCAGTTTAAATCTTCACATTTGATGGTTTTTAAATATTTTTAGAGGTGATGTTCTGCCCCTACAATTGTTTTCAGTTTTGTTGTCTTGTGACTGAGAAACTGGGGTGGGCGAGCTAGCACAGTAAGCTGTGAGATGAGTTTCATTGTGTGGATTTAGCTTGCAGGAGGGTTCCTACTTGTTGTCTCATGCGGCAGAAGATTCTTCACTCCTGATCTACAAGACCTCTGACGGAAAACTTACTAGGACAGCATACAATTTGCATAAAGCACACTGTGACCTTCCTGGTGTACCATCTAGTCTCTCAGTTCCATGGGTCCCATTAGATCCCAGCTGCCTATTACCGTACCATATCCATCATGGACGAATACCCTGTACTTTTCCACCCAAATCACTGCATCCAGCAACACAACAGAAGGTAAGATATTTCTTGGAAATTCAATGTTCCAGCAGATTTCTTATAATCTGTTTCACTGACTACTTTAGCCTGATACCCACATTGCCGTGTTGATCACATGCCATTTTAACATCTATATCCAGAGGAAGGTAGATAGAGCTGCACTCTGCAGTCTAATATCTTTGTCAGTGGGACTTTCTCATAAGTTTTATAAGTCAATTAAAGAAATTTCTGTGAACTTGTCATATGAGTACATTGGTAGGGCATCCACAAAATTCAGACCCTATGTTTCTATTCAAAGTAAACTGGTATTTCTTAACAGCTTTTATTTGTGTATTAAACATCCATCAAACATTTGAGGCAATTTGCAAGAGTCTATATAAAAATTATGATATAATTAAAAATTGACTGGTAAGATAAGGAAATATTTAAAAGCTAGTGTTAGTAATTAGTGAATACAACAGTATTAAGGGCTTATTGTATTGTGCTAAGTTTTTTATAATTCAGCATTTATTGGATTCTTATTAACATTATACTATTTACAAAGTCCTTCCTGAAATGTCCACTGAGTAACATTTCTTTATCTGGAATGTGAAGCCCTGTCTCCAGGTGTTCTCTACCCTATCACTCTGGGTCATGTGATCTCCATTTGAGCTTAGTTGCAGGAAAAATGTTGCTATCTAAAAATGAGTCTGAATGTTCAGAAAACAAAAACCCAGTATATTCTCCTTCCATGTAGGCCAGACATCTTAGAGTCAGAATGAGTGAGTTCTTGATCTGTGTGCTGTTGCCCCAGAGCTCACATACAAGCACATGTGTGTCTCATGGATGGTATGCTCTCTTCCCTTTTTCTGTTATGCCAAATTAATTTGTAAAGCATTCTCAAGCCCTTTTGAGAAAAGCTTTAAATACAGTTGCTGGGGGCCTCTTTAAAATTGTTCATAGTAAATAGGATTCTTTGTTTCTCAGTTCTGCACCCTGATGTTACCATTTGTTTTAATATGTGGGTTCTGACGGTTGAACCAGGGCCCCTTGTGCATGCTAAGCAGCCATTCTACCTTGGGGCTCTTTACACATTCCTGGTTAACTCTGGGAAGAAGATATGTGTGCTGAGCTAGTTGACACAAGTCAAAGAATGGAGAAAGTTAACACTATTTTATCCACAGTTTTGGTTGACTATTTCTAGTTTATTGATACTCTAAGTAATGATTTTTTATAACTTAAGGAATTTTTTTCATGAGTAACTTAAAAATAATTGAAGAATGTTTTTGAAAGATCTATATTCTAGGAAGATAATTTTAATTTAGAAACACTAATTATAATCTCTCAGCTATAACATATAATTCTGTGTGGGGGTGAGTTATTCCTTTTTGGTGAAAATGAATGGTTTAATACCTTGCCAGTGAACAACTTTAAGCAGAAGAAAAATGTTCGTGTAAGACATTTTTGAAACAGAAATGAGTTGATAGTCTTGTGCTTTCTTTATTGATATAGACTGACACTAAAAGTTGAATGTTTTATGTCTTGGAAATACTTGGAAGATTTAACCTTTTTAATAACCTGGTCCAAAATGTGCTTCAGTATAACAAGAACATTTATTTGGAAAAGGAGAAATTTTGTGTATTCAGGATTTGGCCACATAAATACACATTTTAACAATTCAGTCACATGTGTCCCTGGGCACTTGTTGATTTACTTTTTTTAAACTTCGTTTTTATTTTATGTGTGAGTGTTATGTCTGCATGCATGTAAGTGTAACCGTGTTGTGCAATGCCCGAAATGTCCAGAAGAGGGCGTCAGATCCCCTGGAACTGGTTACAGATGGTTGTTAGCCATCATGTGGGTGCTGGGATTCAAACCCGGGTCCTCTGCAAGAGCAGCCAGTGCTCTTCACTGCTGAGCCATCTCTCCAGCCTCTGATAAAAATTTTTTTAAAGATGTTTTATGTGTTCAGTCCAGGAACATTCTCTGAGTTTATCTGGAACGAGGCTGTTGTGTAGCCCAGCACTGACAACAGAAGACAATTAGATAACTAATACTTGCTTAGATGTATTTTTGAAAGCCAATGGAATGTTTCTGGTTATCACCTACCTATCTCACCATGGAAATAGGACTTTATAGTCCTGGTCAGGCTGAGCACCTATACTTTTAGCCTTAGCAGCAATGGGGAAAGATTAGAGCTCTCAGAAAACTGGAATGTAAGAGCCTGTGCGGACCAGGAATCATCTGCCATCTTCTAGTGTGGACTCCTGCAACAAATCCTTCTGCCTCAAGGTGATCCTTTAATTCCTAGTGTACTTGAGCTTCTCCTTGGATAGTGCTTGTGGGACTAACCCTGACACATAGGCCATCACACTTTGTGTCCGCTTCCCACTGCATCAACTAGAGGCTGTATCAAAGAGTCCTGTTTTCACCTGCTTTGCTGCTTGGCCTCTTGTGCCTTATTTTTGACACCTTCATACTTTTATCCTCTTCTCCCTCTACAGCTCTGTAATAAACATTTACTAAACACACACACAGCATCTTCAGAATACTGGTCTTCCTCAGAACTGTAGTAGATACAGTTTATAATGTCGCTCACTGTTCCTTCAGGAAAAATAACCAGCTGAGTGGAGAGTGATGCAGAGCACACAATGAGCACTCTGCTAATCATAATGCCTGAAATGTGCATCAGGTTCCGACAAACTGCAGACCAGCTCTCCACTCAAGGTTGTCCTTACTAGTTATTAATTTTAAAAAACACAACATCCTTATAGAAAAAGTAGAGATCTGATTCTTAGTGAGCCTGTAGCCCTTGAAACAGAGCTGGCACATTTGTTGGTCTAGAATATGAGTGTTTGTAGTTACACTTCACTCACTGCCCTGTGCTTCACTGGACAGGATTACAGAAGCAGAGGGGATAAGGTGCAGGGGAAACAGAGGCAGATACAGGCAACTTCTGTCAACTGGTCACAAGCTCTGCAACTCAGGACCTTTAGTGTGTGGCCTGGCCTTCCCTTCCCCTTTATAAAAACACCCTGCCCTCTAAGTGGCTGTGAAGCCATTTCCAGGTCTCATCTTTAAATAGGACTGTGATTAGCAGGGCTGTGTCCTGGGCAGGCCTGCCCCCTCCCTTAGACCCCGTGAGCCAGACGACAGTGGGGAGAAGCCACATGAGGGTGAGCCAACGCCCCTTGTCTCTAACGCCCTTGGCCCTTTGCTCATCCCGTTTGCCTTCCAAGTCTTCCCTCCCCTTTTCCATCTGTTTCTCGTTTTCAGTTTTCCTCTCTGCTTTCCAGTTTTTCCTTTCTTTGGTTTCTTTTTCTTCTAACTTTCATATTTTTCTTTTTCCCCCTTTCCTTTTTAGACACTTTCCTTCATCTGACCATTTTCTTCCTGCCTTGCTTAGTCTTACCATCTCCTTCTTCACCCTTTCTGCCCTTCTATCCGCTCGCCTTCTCGTTCTCTCCTGTCCCTGCCCTCCTGCATTGCTGTGAACATGCTACTCGAAAGGCCTGTCCTTGCTGCGCTTTCTGACCTCACTTTTCAACCTTGTCCAGATGTCACAGACTCATTCACTTCTCTACCCTTGTCTCTCTCCTCCCCTCGTTGTTACTGACAGCTTAAACTTTTAAAACTGGGTCAGATTAAAACTTCTTTTCAAAGCAGCCAGGTAGCTGGGACGAAAAAGTGCACAAAAGTTCCCTCGCGTGTTGAGCAGCCCGTATATGAATGATTCAGAGCTGGCTGTGCACAGGCATGTTGTATGTGTATGTAGTTATACTACTCTTTGCTTCTTAGGTTGGTGGGACAAGAATGCCTACAGGGAGCCTCAGGAATCCAGTTTCCATGGAAACCAAAAGCAGTTGCCTGCCTGTTCAGCAAGTTGAAAATGAAGGAGTGGCTCCAAATAAAAGAAAAATAACTTAAGGGCTGGACCATGGGAAATGAAGTTTCAAAAAAATCCAGTTACAACAGGGTTTCGTTTTGAATTTTGGGGTAAAAATGTGTCCAGTTGGCAAGGGGAGCATTTACCTTCAAGTGGCCTCAGGAGGGGCCTTGAATGGCTGTGGCTGTGGAAACGGGGATGACAGCAAAGTGAGTGTTTCTCCTTCCCTTTGACTGTGAAGAGCCTAGAGGTCGAACTGAAGAAGAAAAACACTTCCCTAGGGCCCCTTTTCGAAGATTGTAGACAGGGAAGTCATTTTCTCTTTTAGGAACAATTATATTATGTTAATGATTTGAATTCTGTTGTCAGTGTACTGAGACTGGCTCAGAAGGGTAAGTATTAAACTGTTAGAAACAGTCATGAGCACTAGAAACCTTGTTTCTGATCCATTTTTGACAGTTTTAATACTACTTTTAATATGTTGGAAAACATGTTGAAATTCCACTGCAGACACCAGAAGCGAAAACAAAAACCTCTCTGCCCCTGAGAAATTACCAATTAATACTTTCCTGTTGGGCACAGTTTGCTTTATGAAAGCTCTCTGTGGTACAGCAGGCTAGGTGACAGAGCTTTTACAACTTGGCGCAGATTCCAACCCAGTACGTTGAAACACGCTACCAAAGGCAGACACACCCGCGGAGGAAGCATTCCAAAAGAAGTTTGATCATTCCATCCAGCATGGTTAATATGGCAAAAAGCGTAAGGCATTTCCCAAGCCCACAGATTAATTCAGAAACACCATAAGCAGTGGATTGTGGCCAGTTTGGATTTAAGAAGGGACAGATCTGTTCAATTTGTAACCTTTTTTAAATGAATACAAAAAGTATCAGAAATATATTTGTTATCTCCAAAATAAAAGTTTTGTAATCAAAGGCAATATTTGTGTTGTTTTGGAAATTTTTATGTTCCATATTAATATAAAGAAATTATATCTAAAAATCTAAAATACTATAAAGAACAGTTAAAATTTTTATCTACCATGCTCTAGTTTTGAATTGGTTTTCTGGAATGTTTATTATAAAATATCTTGATGTTATCGTAAAAGCGATTATTGATACACATTACTTTCTGGATTTTAATGTGTCTCATCTTGCCATTCTCTTTAAAACATTAAGCTTTGTTTTTCTAAACTTTGTCATATAACCGCATAACCAGAATGTTTTAGTTGTGACTCATTTGGTGGTCAGCCTAGGAAAAGGCAGGGGATCCCTTGGAATTCGGTCTTTTTCAGAGCTAGACAGGGTTTGCTGCAGACACGAATGCGGAGGGTTTGCTGCAGGCACGAATGCGGAGGCTTTGCCTTGGCTTTCCTTGTTTTGTTTGGTTTTAGTACTCTTTGTGTGTGATCTTGCAAGTGATTGCTTTCACGTTATCAAAGCCATACATTTGGATAACTGATGACACGTGGAACTACTTTTCCACTTGTGCTTAATAAAGGCTTTTTTAAAACATGTCGGCTATATCTTAATGTTCTTGAGTCTTAGCATGAATAATTTGGGCTCTTTTTAAACATATGATTGTATCTTAATGTTCTTGATTTTTAGCATAAATAATTTATAAGCATGAAAGTGACACTGATACTATTAGCAAAATTTTTGTGTATTTTTTCCTGCTTTTTAATAATACTTTAATTGTTAGATTTTTTTTTTAATTAAAGCTGAGGCTTTAATTTCTGTTCACTAGTACAGTGCTTGCCTAGCATGCATGGGACCATGGGTTCTGTCCAACAAACATAAAGGAAAACAGGATATTATGAGGTAAACCTGGTTCATTCATACTTCTGTATGAAAGTATAAGTCATATGAATATCTTAGAAAAGAGTTTAATTCAGCAAGTATTTGACTACTGTGTGTTGTGAATTCTAAACTATGTCCTCCATGTTAAGCTCTCAGTATTTTTTCAGACCCTGAAATACTGTTTACTTGACTGATTTCTTGAACAGGCGGTAAATTGTGAAGGGACAGAGCTTTATCATTGTTCTAAAGTAGCAAATGCTTCATGTACCTGTTGTGCTCAGTTCTAGATGTTGTATATGTGAATGAATGAATGAGTGAATGAATGAATGAATGTAGAGATCTCCAAGATGGCTAGCTGAGACCCTGCCTCAAAAAAAGCAGTTGGTTTTTTTGTTTTGTTTTGTTTTTTTGAGCCAGGTATGGTGGCACACACCTTTAAATCTCAACACTGACGAAGAGGCAGGTGGATCAGTGGATCTCTGTGACATCTGGTCTATATAATAAGTTCCAGGGCAGCAAGAGCTATAGGGAGAACTGTCTCAAAAACAAAAAAAGGCAGATTTTTCTTCTTGGGACTGTCTATTATAGTAGAAAACACAATACTGATTTGTGTGGCAAGTGGCTTAATAAAGTCTTCTTGGGCTGGGGGTGTAGTTCAGTGGTATCCCTGAGGTCCTAGGTTCAGTCACCACACACACAAAAAATCATTTAACCAGGTCCTGATCATTAAGGAAGATTTTTCTGAAATAAAGCTTGAACCGAGGGTTTTTTTAAAATGAGTCGGAGTTGTAAGGGAAGGAGAGCTGCAGCATTTGCAAAGGTGAAAGGAGGCCATTCACAGACTGAACAGTGACCAGAGCTACAGCTCAGGGTCACACAGCTGCGCTCAGACACCAGGACTTTATCCTGTGCAATGTGGAAACCAGTAGTGAAGCTGAACAAAATAAGTAGCACAGTCGGATATGGGTCTGAAACACTGTAGCAGGACAAAAGTTGAATGCTGTGTGGTAGCAGTGAAAAATGGGGATGGTCGAAATTCATGAGTTGGTAGTGTCAGCAGAAGACAGCTTCTAGATTTCTCATTTTGATGCTGGATAAGTGGTGGTATCATTCATTGGGGAAAACAGTGTGGTTAGAGAGGGAAGTAAGCTCATTTAAAATGTTTGATTAGCCCATTTCTGCTCCCTGGGTTCAGGGCAAATGCTGTGTTGGTTTTCTTATAACCAGTTTGCCGAGTAATGAGTTACCTTTAAACTTTGCTACTTAAGTGGCAGATAACATTTCACAGTTTCCATGAGCTGGAAGTCCAGGGGCAGCCCAGCTGGATGCCTGGAGCACCGGGCTCCTCTGCTGTTGCAGTCTAACTGAAGCCACCATCACCTCCAGACTCACATCCACTTCCACTAAGGTTCACAAGCAGGGTGTGTGTAGGTGGAAGGTCCCTCTCTCACTGGCAGCAATGTGGCCCTTGCCACATGGACCTCTGTGTAGTACTGCCCATGTTACCTTGCAGCATAGCAGCTGTTGAACTCCAGGGAACAAAGAGGAACAAGAAAGTGATGGCATCTTTTATCACCTAGGTTAGAGAGCAAACACTGTCGCGTTCTCCGAGTTAGAAACAAGTCACCAAGTCACTGTCTGGAGCTCCAGGTCTGTAAAGGCAGGGCATGCATAGAAGATGTGAGCTTATTCTTAAACCACTATGTATGCCAGGAGCGTTTTTAGGGCTACAAAATAATTAGACTTAATGTGGAAAGAAAAGAAAGACTTATTGAACTGAGTTACTACTGTCCCAGCACTTGGAAAGCTGAGACAAGAGGACTGTAAGATTGAGACCAGCTTGGGCTATGTTGCAAGACCCCGGTTCAAAAAAGTTGCTACCAACATGTTGAATCTGGTTGCAGAGGAACCAAGTTCGGTTTCCTACACCCATATGGCAGCTAACAACCATCTGTAACTCCAGTTCCAGGGGATCCAACAGCCTCCTGGCCTCCAAGGGCACTGTATGGCATGCTGCACTTTAACATACAATGCAGGCAAAGTACTCATAAAATAAAAAATAGATCTGTAGAAATGACATGTGTTAAAGAGTTGAACTTGAGACAGAAGCCACGTCAGTGCAGATTTCAGACTCACTGGTGTATCTGTGGTCAGTTGAAATCAGAGCAGAGGGTAAGACGGATTAGCAGAAATGAGTGGAAAGGAACCATGGGGGAAACTGCAATGCACTGAAGAGTTTCACTGGAGTGGCAATGTAGAACCAGACTGAAGACACCGAGGAGTAAATGGAATAGGAAGTGGGGAAATGCACTACCTGCTGATTGGCAAAACTTGGAAGGAGTTTTACAATTTAAGTCTGTTTAACTGCAAAGGAACTTAGTTAACCTGTTCGTCTCCCAATTGGCTAGTTCCTCCAAGGGGCGGGACCTGCCAAGGAGTATGGACTACTTAGGGGCTGCTGGGGCCCATCTTGGGATGGAAGCCCTGAGCCATGGGTAGCGCACGGGCATGGGGAATGCGCAGCCAAGCAGCTCAAGGACAGAATGGCCTGAGTCTTGTGGACCCGGGGCGAGATCACTGTCCCCGGAATCATGAGCAAATGCTAGTGGTGACTATGGGCGTGGAGCGGTCTGATATGGCGGGCTCTGAGCCGTGAGGTGAGGCTAGGCACTGGGTACTCATTCCTTTGTAAGTTAATAAATGCACATAAAGATATGTTATATGGTATGCTTGATAGCACAGGAGACCCAGAGGGAACTTGGGTGACAAAATTGGTGTAGCCTGGCAGGATATGACGAACCTGAGAATGAGTTTTAGAAGAGTGCTGATGGCGGCACTGATGTGCTTGTTACAATGGGTTACTAAAAGGAGGCCAGCCACGCAGAAGTGTGGGCCACAGCTATGTTGTAAATGTGGGGGTATGTTGCAGGTATGTAAAGATTTGTTAAAGGTTACCCAAAAGCTAGAAAATCTTTTACCTTCTCTGGACCCAGAGAGAGAGCCCAGCCACTTTGCATGATAAAAGACGTGCCTCAGGCAGGAGAAGCTGAAAAGGCTGCACTGGCAGACTAGGTGCAGAGCTGGAGAGAGAAAAAAGGTGGACACTTTGACTTGTGTAAGGTCCAAGGACTCAGAGAAAAAGACAGATAATAGTAAGAAGGAAAAGAAAGCTGACTGTGCTGTAGCTAGGAAACATTCCATGTTAGAAGTGTTAAAACTAGAAAATACTTATAAGCAAGCAAGCAGAGAGCCCCTGGCCATGTAGCTCGTGAGCGTGTGGGACATGGGAGCAAATGACATCAGTCTAAGACCTTTAGAAGCTTCACAGCTGAGTTATATAACCACCCATCTGTCCTTGCAATATAGGCTGTTCAACCTAGGCCAATGCGGGGGGAGCAGTCCTTAATGGGGTGGCTGGTTGAAGGCATTAAAGATACATGGTTGTCACCAAGGGAGACCAACATGATTAGCAGGGGCTGGAGGACTATAAAGGAGGGGCAGGCATTACTGAGAGAGCTAGGTATGAGAAAAGCAATATATGATGTCCAGTTCACTGGGCCAGATAAGACTGTGTTCAC